GGCGCAAGGAAGTGGCAGCGAGCCCTAACCCTAAGGATCCATGTGCATAGTCTTTAAAGGGGTTCCTATACTACTACTTCCAAAAAAAAACAAAAACATTCTTGCTAAATTATAAGCGTAAGAAAGGGGTTCTTGTTTTACAAATTGGGGGGGGGGGGGGGCTCTCAGCCAAATAGTAGTATAAAGGAAGGTTAGGGCCCAAGCATATACTTGATAGGCTATAGGTACACGGATCCTTAGGGCAACCCGCAAACCCTGCACCCCCTCTAGGCAGTCGCAGTTTTCTGCAAAACACACATTTCCAACTGCTAGACAGTTTAAGCGTCTAGCCCTATAAGGCTCCAAATAGCCCACAGCAGGTATTATTTACAGACTTTAGACCCCCAATGTAGGTCGTATTTGTATACTTGGAGCCCTAGGGCTTAGGGCTTTTTAAAGTCCTGCGGCTCCTATGTAGTACCGTTTTGGGGAAGTATACTCGACTCCCCTCTAGCTAACCCAAAAAGGAACTTCATTGGAGCCTTTGGGCACGTAGGGCTTTATGAAGTCCTGCAGCCTAAATCCCGAAGCTTTTTACCCCCAAGACTCTCGAAGTTCCGTCGAAAACAGCTTCAGGTTGATGGGGTTTTGGGGATTAGGGATTTGGGGTTTAGGGCTAGGGTTTAGGGTTGAGGATTTTGGGGATTTGGGGTTTAGGGCTAGGGTTTATAGGGTTGAGGATTTCAGGGATTTGGGGTTTAGGGCTAGGGTTTAGGGTTGAGGATTTTGGGGATTTGGGGTTTAGGGCTAGGGTTTAGGGTTGAGGATTTCAGGGATTTGGGGTTTAGGGCTAGGGTTTAGGGTTGAGGATTTCAGGGATTTGGGGCTTAGGGCTCGGGTTTAGGGCTTCCCTAAGTTTGAAGGGTGACGCCAAACCACGCGCACCTACTTGTGAGGGCGATGCTAAACTGGGCAGTGCGCTCCCCAGCCCCAGATAGGGTTTAGGGTTTTGGGTTTAGGTTTAGGGTTTAGGGCTTAGGGCTTAGGGCTTAGGGCTTAGGGCTTAGAGTTTATAGGGCTAACCGAATTCGGTCCAGGCCGCTGCCCAGCCCAACGCTCGCAGAGCAGTTGGTCACATCCCGGTCGTAGGACAGGCAGCCTGACGGGTTGAGTCGCTCAGTCTGGTTTAGGGATTTGGGGTTTGGGGTTTAGGGTTTAGGGTTTGGGGTTTGGGGTTTAGGGTTGAGGTTTATTTCTTCCGGAGTTTAGAGTTTAGGAGTTCAGGGGCCTCAATAAAGGTCTGTCCGCAAACCCTAACCTCTAAACGACCAGATCCATGACTTCGCAGATCCTTACTAATAAAAAGAGAACGCTCAGCTTCCGATGTCTTCCTGCTGCGTCAGGATGAAGAAGCTGTGGTTGGGTAAGAAGACCGAAAAACCCCTAAACCCTAAACCCTAAACCCGAAACCCTAAACCCTAAACTCTAAACCCTAAACCCTAAACCCTACACACTAAACCCAAACCCTAAACTTCAAACCCTGAAGCCTCAGCAGTGGGTAAACCGACCAGGCATCCCGACCCCTGCAAAAAAGTTGAACACTGAGCTAAATTGGGTTTCTGGGTTAGGGCAGCCCTCAACCAGGGACCTTCGGGTGGTTCTCCTCCCCCAATAAGCGCTAAGCCGCGATAGCGAAAGGCCTCCTTGCATACCTAGACCCTAGAACCCTGAACCCTAAACCCGATCAAACATCCCAAGCCCCCAACTCCCCCGTCCCCCCGTATTTTGGGATGCCTAGTCCGCCGCTCTCCCAGTTGTCCTCCGCCTGACTCTTCACCTGCACCTGGCTATTCTTACAATAGCTACAGGGTTCTTAAAGAAGTTTTGGGTTTAGGGTTTAGGGTTTAGAAGGTGGGAAAGCCTTCGAGCCTCAGGGTTTTTGAAGCCTTCAGGGCGTTCGGATTTGGGATGTCGGGTGGAGGGTGTGCCCAAGACCCTACAGTAAACTCCATAAAGTTGGAACATGGTTTATGGACGATTAGTGATGGGATTCCCTTTAATTAGTAGCCCTCTTGGGGTAAGAGGGTAGTGATGTTCAGTCTTTTGGGAGGTTACTGTGAACCCTAACTGCAAAGGTGCATGCGGAAGGGCCGGCCGAGAGCCATTACTGTTCCGCGCCCACAACCCCCAAACCCTAAACCCCCAAAACCTCTCGGGCCCTGACTCCTCAAAAACCTACACCCCGAAGGCCCTCAAACCCCAAACCCTAAATCTCTATGTCCTAGCTCTCAATCCTAAACTCCGAAGGCCCTAAACCCCCAAACCCTACCTCCCCAAAGCCCCTAAACCCTAAACCCTAAACAACTAAACCCCTAAACCCTAAACCCTAAACTCCGAAGCTCAAGATCTTCAATGCTTCTTGGGGAATGAGGACTTGAGGTTGAAGTTTGAGGGATGGACTGGGTTTAGGGTTTAGGGTTTAGGGTTTAGGGTTTCGGGTTAAGCAGGTCACGATGCTCAGCCCGCAAAGGCAAGACCAGATTGCATTGTGAGTTAACTACTCCTTCGGGGGGGGGGGGGGGGGGGATGTTGGAGCCGCCAGTTTCAGAATGGGGGGGGGGGGGGGGGGGGGTGGTTAGGGTTTAGGGTTTAGGGTTTGGGGTTTAGGGTCTAGGGGTTGGGGTTTAAGGTTTAGGGATTACGGTTAATTAGCATTTAGGGTTCATGAGGGCTTGGGGGTTTAGGGCTACAAGGCTGGTATTGCAGCGCTGTGCGCGCCACCTGCCATGCCTGGAAGATGCACGCCTGCGGCCACCAGACGCAGGTAAACTCAGGGACCAGGGTTGAGAGTTTACCGTTTAGGGTACCTCAAACTATACATCCCAAGCAATATAACACTAACACCAACAAATTAGAAAGACCCCAACAGCCTAACACACCCCCACGCGCCCCTAAACCCGAAACCCTGAACCCGAAACCCCAACACCTGACGCATAGAAGTGCTGGAGGCTATAAAGACTAGTTCATTGTTGGGATATTATAAAAAAACTAAACTTGTATTCCTTATTGGGTATAAGTACCCTTACAAAATGTCAAAACCACATATACTCAACTATGACGAAGAAGACGCTCAGCAGCTCATGATCTCAAAAACGAGACCCACAGGGATAACCTGCAAGGCGAGGCCCAAAAAAAGGGAGGGAATCTCCGCACCCCCAAACCGCTGGTTTAGGGTTTAGGGTTTAGGGTTCAGGGGTTAGGGTTTAGGGTTTAGGGTTTAGGATTTAGGGTTTAGGGTTTAGGGTTTAGGGTTTAGGGTTTAGGGTTTAGGGTTTAGGGTCCTGCTCTTCCCTGCTTCAGTCTGCAGGCCGTGAATGCACTGTCGGGCGTAGGACCCAAACCCTCAACCCTCAACCCTAAACCCTTAAACCTTAACTTAAAACTCTAAAACCCTCAAACGCTGAAACTCTCAAGCCTCAAACCCTCAAACCCTAAAACCCTAAAGCCCTCAGACCCTAAAACCCTACAACCCTAAACCCTCAAACCCTCTTTTTTCCCTGCTGGGGGCGCGAACCCATGGGATGTTCGCGTCCCAGGACGCAACGACCTCGTAGGGCCCAGGGCCTCAGCGAGGGTTTTTGGGGTTTTAGGCTTTAGGGTTCAGGGTGTGGGGCTTTAGGGGCGGGAGTTTATAGGGTTTTAAGTCTTGGGCTATATAGGGACTTTTAGGGTATTAGAATAACATGACTTTGGGCCTCATGCATGTACTCTGAAGTAGAACATGGACGGTTGGCCCGTAAAAAAAGCCTAGACCCTAAACCCACCCGCTAAATCCTAAAGCCTAAACCCTAATCCCTCAACCCCCAAACCCCAGAGCTCCGGGCTCGTCGCGGTGAGGTTTGCAGGAGCTTCGGCGGCCACGGCATCCACAACACAGGCGGCACCTGCCAAGCACATCCCCTAAACCCACCCTAAACCCTAAGCCCTGAAAACGAAACCCTAAACTTGTTCCCTAAACCCTAACCTTGAAGCAGCCTAAACCCTAACTCCAAAGAGTCCGTGACTGGTATGTACTCGGGCCCTGAAATCACCGGAAACCCAAACCTCAATCAACCCCACAAGCCCCCAAACCCACAGTTAAGACCCCCACACCCTGGAACCTCGAACCTTAAACCCTAAACCCATAAGCCCCTAACCCGAAACCCTAAACCATGAACCCTGAACCCCTGAACCCCTAAACCCCTAAACCCCTAAGCCCCTAAACCCCTAAACCCCTTAACCCCTAAACCCTAAACCCTAAACCCCTAAACCCTAAACCCTAAACCCTGCACCCATAAATCCATAAACCCCTTAACCCCTTACTAAACCCCTAAACCCCTAAGCCCCTAAACCCCTAAGCCCCTAAACCCCGAAACCCCTCCTTCTCCTTCTTCTTAGGGACCATATTCGAGGCCCATGATACCCCAAAACCCTAAACCCTGAACCCTGAACCCTCCCTAAACCCTAAACCCTAAACCCTAAACCCTAAACCCTAAACCCTAAACCCTAAACCCTAAACCCTAAACCCTAAACCCTAACCCCCCTGCAGGCGCCCTTCCCATTCAAATGCCTCCCAGCTCTGCGAATGGGCTGGTCGCATCGGGATCGGAGCAGACCTGTCAGCAAGAGTTTGGGGTTTAGGGTTCAGGGGTTTGGGGGTTTAGGCTTTAGGGTGTAAGGCTTAGGGTTTAGGGTTTGTAGGTTTGGGGTTTAAGGTTTAGGGTTTAGGGTCAGGGCTTAAGGTCTAGGGTTTAGGGTTTAAGGTTTAGGGTTTAGGGTTTGTAGGTTTGGGGTTTAAGGTTCAGGGTTTAGGGTCAGGGCTTAAGGTTTAGGGTTTAGGGTTCAGGGTTTCAGGTTTAAGGTTTGGGGTTTGAAGGGTTAGGGTTCAGGGTTTAGGGTTTAAGGTTCAGGGTTTAGGGTTTAGGAAGGTTTAGGGTTTAATTAGGGCTTAAGGTTTAGGGTTTAGGGTTTAGGGCGACCCCTTATATACCCCTTAAATACCTCAAACAAATTAAGGGCCCAAAATCAGAACCCTTTGAGGGAGGTTAGGGACCATGTTACGGCCCATGAAACTACCCTCAGACAGACTTGCAAAGAACTCGGGAAACCTTATGAAGCCTATAGGTAGCTGAAGCCCTAACCACGAGAATGATACCCTCTTAAGATGCTATAAACACGACATGCCATAAACTCCAAACCCTCTAAGCTCTACGCCCCACCAGAGTTACTACTCGCACTATAGACTCTCTATAGACCCCAAAACCAAATGCCCGTATGACCTACTATCCGCAACAATCTCAACACATTTTTGTTGAGCCAAGCGATACATGCTCATATATCGCCAAAGAGATCTTGGACTCCAATGATGGCGTCTTTATAGCCGATTTGAGCGCGTTGAAAAGCTGACATTCCAAAGCACGATATTGCATGGGTTGGTCAAGCTCCTCGTCAGTCATGTTCCTCACCGCCAGAACCTTGTCGTACCCATACTCACTGTCAACCCTAAACCCTAAACCCTAAACCCTAACCCTAAACCCTAAACCCTAAACCCTAAACCCTAAACCCTAAACCCTAAACCCTAAACCCTAAACCCTAAACCCTAAACCCTAAACCCTTGGAAAGCGGTTGGATCCCACGTTCGCTGTTTTGTTGTCTTCCTTGCTTGTATCAAGAAGGCGTAGAATTGGCGTCTGGCACATCTAGCAATTCACAGCCATCGCAAGTTCTGTCAGCCAGATTGGGATCCTGGTTGCCTCGGGCACTCTCATATCCATAAGCCAACCAAGCTACTAATAAAACAAAGCCCCGAACCCCAGGCGCCTAATATAGGGGCCTTAAGAATTCGAATAGGGCCACAGTACCCCAAAACCGCGAATCCTCAACGCTGAGCAGCACCTGACGGATCCTCACGTCGTAGCTGCGGCCCGTCAGCAGGCCCTCTACTGTGCAGCTGGTATCCTGCATCGGGGCTTAGGGTTTAAGGGCGGCGGTTTAGGGTTTAGGGTCTAGGGTTTAGGGTTTAGGGCTAGGGTTTAGGGTTTGGGGTTTAGGGTTTAGGGTTTCGGGTCAAGAAACTATGGAGTGTGCTTAGCTGGTGCGCTGCCAAAGGGTTTTACATAGTTCCCGGGTTCTCATGGGGGACCCAGCAGGGCCGATGTGCCCAGAAGAAGGCCTACTTGGCCTGCAACACACATCTTATACACTCACTTACCATCTATGTATGTGGCCTCTGAAGGAGAGATTGAAGACCACCTTGACAGGGTTTAGGGTTTCGGCTTTAGGGTGCCCAGAAGAACTTACCCTTGACCCATTCCGAACAACGACCTGCGTCCCGCGGCAGAGAGGTACCAAGGGAACCTTACGGGAGATATGCGGGTTCTGGGAGTATTCGGCGTATTCGGGATTGATTGCTGGAGTACTTATCCCCATTAAGCGCTCCCCCATACTTTTCAGTCTTAGAGCCTGAGACCCCGCACACCCTGTACTAAACAAGACTTGCCGCAACACTCGCCCCGAACCCTTACCCTCGCAAGCCTGCTAACCCTAAACCCCTACAACCCTACACCCCAAACCCTCAACCCTAACCCTAAACCCCACACCCTAAACCCTAAACCCGAAACCCTAAAACCCCTAAAACCCTCAACCCTACGCCCCAAACACTTCATCTCCTGCTCAAGGATGCTGTAGCAGGCCTGGGGCGCTTGGCACGGACCACGCAAGGGACACCCCAAACCTCCCAACATCGGGTTTCGGAGCTTACCCCAAGCAACCTACTTCGGGGCCCTAAACCCTAAACCCTAAACCCTAAACCCTAAACCCTAAACCCTAAGCCCTAAACCCTACACCCTGAACCCGAGGTTTCAGGCATTGGGGGGGGGGGGGGGTGTGGAGTTGGAGGAACAAGCTCGGGGTGCAGGGTCTCGCAGAACTCAAGTGTAGGGATGGTTTAGTGTTTAGGGTTTAGGGGTCCAAATTCTTGAAACCCTAAACCCTAAACCCTAAACCCTAAACCCTAAACCCTAAACCCTAAACCCTAAACCCTAAACCCTAAACCCTGAACCCTAAACCCCAAACCCTGAACCCTAAACCCTAAGGGCCGTTCGCGTGGGAAAGCAATTCTTTCAGGTCAGCTGCCAGCTGCCAAGCACCGCCGGCCGCGGCTGGTGCATCGCGCGGCTGCAGCATCACGAAGATCTCCCACGCCTGGCTTCTAAGGTTCTTAAGGGTTTAGGGTTTGGGGTTTGGGGTTTAGGGTTTAGAGTTTAGGATCTAGGATCTAGGGTTTAGGGTTTAGGGTTTAGGGTTTAGGGCTAGGGATATAGAGTTCTTCAGGGAGGGGGGTTCAAGGGGGTTGGTAACCCAAGGTTCCCCAATGCTCCCCACTACTCCTCAAGGCTCCCTAGGTGCCTAAACCCTACACCCTACACCCTACACCCTACACCCTACACCCTACACCCTAAACCCTAAACCCTAAACCCTAGACCAACCCTAAACCCTAAACCCTTCCCTAAGGTTCCCTCGGTGCCTATCTCCCATGAACCTCCCCCCCTTAAGACCCCTAAAACTGGCGCTCCCGCGTCCTGGGCTGCTGCAGCTTCGGAGAGAGGGTTTAGGGTTTAGGGCGTTTAGGGTGTAGGGGGTTCAGGGATTCAGGGCTACCCCGAAAACTCAAAGGACTCGTTTTTGAGGGTCCTGGACCATACCATTCGAGGCGCCGGAGAGAAGTTGAGCCGAAAGGTGAGTGTTGCCATACGAACATTTCAGAGGAAATTCAGGCTAAGAGTAGAAGGCGCGGGGTGTACATCTCGCTGTAAAGTAGTGAGGGGATGTAGAGGGGTGAGGGTGGGGAGGCATTTAGAGGTTAGAGCATACCCTCGCAAGGCTCTACAAAGTCCAGAGCCCCTGGGCAACAAACAAGGCTCCGAAGCACCTCCCCCCCCCCACAACAGCAATCTGATTCAGCAATCTGCAACACATCTGCACCTTAAACCCTATGATGACATCTGTTAACAATAGAGCGCCCTAAGGAACAAACCCCGAACCTTAGACCCTAAATCCTAAACCCTAACGGCCACGAAAAAACCCTAAACCCTAAACCCTATGAACCCTAAACCCTCAACCCTAAACCCTAAACCCTAAACCCCAAGCGAGCCAAACTTCCGAGTGCCCCAGTGCGGCCTGAAAGTCGCAGTCGCCCGGCGAGCCAGGCGTCCAGGAGATCTGTGGTAGGTTTAGGGTTTAGGGTTTAGTAAGGTTTAGGGTTTAGGGTTTAGGGTTTAGGGTTTAGGGTTTCGGGGTTTAGGGCTTAGGTTTCTGGCTTAGGATGCAGGATCGAGGAACTCCAAACCCGAAGCCCTATAAACCCCCACACCCCACACCCCAAACCCCAAACACCTAAACCCCAAACCCCTAAACCCTAAACCCTACACCCTAAACCCCTAAAACCCCAAACCCCTAAACCCCTAAACCCTAAACCCCAAACCAAACCCTAAACCCTAAACCCTCCCCGCCGGCAGCGCCATGGCCCCCTGGCTCTTCGCCGCCGTGCCGCAGGCGGCGGAGGGCGCGCTGGCGGCCGTCGGGAGCGTTGGGGCTGGCTGCGGCCACAGGGCCCAGTCCTCGGTGGGGTTTAGGGTTTAGGGTTTAGGGTTTGGAGTTTGGGGTTTAGGGTTTAGGGTTCAGGGTTTAGGGTCTAGGGGTGAAGCAGTTAAGGAGTGGAAACGTGAAACCCTGAACCCTAAACCCAGAAACCTTCTTTAAAGGGTTCTGAAGTATGCGCCCTTGGGTTGCATAGCGCCCAAGGGACGCTCTCGATAAAGCGTTTGGTCAAGAAATGGAGACCGTCGTCCCCTTCGGCAAGTAGTTCTGCATCGGCGGCGTCCTTGAATATCTTGCACAGATGATCCGTGATCAGATGGGCCGGCACTTTGGCATCCTCCAGCATTATCGAAATGCTCGCGAGGAACATGCATGTGTTGATCAGAAAATTCAACACGTTGGTTCCGCGGTCGCCGCTCTCGCGAATCATGTCCTTGATCAACAAGGTGACTCCAAGGGAGAAACCGGCCGCGACTTTCGTCTCCTCGGAGACGCGGTCCTTGAGTGCGTTCGTCAGACACACTCCTCCGTCAGGGGGTTTGGGGTTTAGGGTTAGGGTTCAAACCCACAACCCAAAATCCTGGACACTAAAAACCGCGAACGCGTAACCCGAAACACGACGGGCCTCGTTGCTTCTCCTGCTCTGCTCTTACTTGTTTAAGGTATGGAGGGTCCAAAGACCCACGAGTACAAAGGAAGAGCTTCGGGCTTAGGGCTTCGTTCGGGTTTAGGATTCAGGGCTTAGGCCTTACAAGATGTCTGGTCATGAGTGGCGCTTGACTTTAGACATAATACTTCTAACCCAGCTTAAGGCCTCTTCAAAGCTGCAAACCCTAGTTGCATCCCTCTATCCTCCGCCCGAACCCTAGATCTTAGGCCCAAAGCCTAAACCCTACACTCGACGAAACCCCCAGACCCTACACTCACATCCCCAACCTTCAAGACCCCAGCCTTCTGCCGCTGCATTACCATCATCCCGAGTCTCAGTGTGACTGGCGCTCGAAGTTTAGAGGCTCCCTAAACCCTAAACCCTAAACCCTAAACCCTAAACCCTAAACCCTAAACCCTGCTAAGCTCAAGTCCTCAGGGTCCTTAGGTGGGGGATGGCTCCCTTATGGGGATCCTATTCGTGCCCCCAACAATGGCCCGCAATTGAGAGATTCACCCCATGTAGCTAAATGGGGTATACTTAGTATACTTGGGGCTTGTGCTGTGTCATATAGGGGTCGGTATAATTTCTAATAATATTCCCTTCTAGTCCCTTTATGGTTACACTGCAATAACCCCCCCAAAACCGCATTCTAATTATGAAGGCCCCGAAAGTAGTGGATTTAGGGCCCAAGTATATGTGTTTTTTGGCAACCTGGACCCTTGAGGAAGGTAGAGGGCACCCTTGCCAGGTGCTATATTGGGCTTGTGCGCTGGGTTTAGGGTTTAGGGTTTAGGGTTTAGAGTTTGGGGTTTAGGGCTTAGGGCTCAGGGCTTAGGGTTTAGGATTTAGGGTTTAGGGGTTGGGGCAATCCATGCAGTCTGGGGTCAGAATCGTACGCCCATCGCGTGCACGCCTGCGACGGCATCGGAAGCTGAGTTCAAAAACCCTAAGGATCCATGTACCGGAGGCCTTGAAGCACATTAAGGATCCCAGGGCTCAGGGTTTAGGGTTTAGGGTGTAGGGTGTAGGGTTTAGGGTTTAGGGTTTAGGGTTTAGGGTGCCTATGTAGTATATACTTGGGCCCCTAGAGGTCCTGTATGGGCACACCTTGAAGGCTTAAGCATAGAACTATATATGCACATGGATCCTTAGGGCAAGCAGTCATCCAGGGCCCGAACCCTAAGCCCTAAGTTCTAAACCCTAAGCCCTAAGCCCTAAGCCCTAGGCCCTAAGCCCTAAACCCTAAACCCTACATTCAACGGGACACCATGCAAAAAATGCAAAAACCCAGTTCATGATGGACTTTACAAACCGACTTCCTGAAGTCTCTCCTCGAGCTCGTGCCTTCCTCCTTCACCTGCTCCTCGATCTGCCGCCCTAGACCCTAAACCCTAAGCCCTAAACCCTTAGCCCTTAACCCTAAGCCCTTAACCCTAGGCCCTAAACCCTAAGCCCTAAGCCCTAAGCCCTAAGCCCTAAGCCCTAAACCCTAAACCCTAAGCCCTAAGCCCTAAGCCCTGAGCCCTAAACCCTAAGCCCTAAACCCTAAACCTCTAGTCGCCAGTCCATGGGGCTTCAGTTTAAGTTTGTAGCATGTGTGCACTTTCATCGGGCTTGATGCATGACTACGACGTTGTACACAATGGTAGCTTAACGCCTTTGCGCGGATGACTCCATGCTTTGAGCCGGCTCAACCCCTAAAGGACCTAGAGCGTACCCAACCCAACCCATCGAATTTCTGCGAACTCTCTGGCTCCTTTTCAAAGCAGCTGAGCCCTAGCTGTCCAGCATTTTTGAGGGAGCTTAGGGTTTGGGGTTTAGGGCTTATAGGGTTTAGGGTTTAGGGGTTGCCCCCCCCCCCCCCCCCCCCCCCCCCCCTAAAGCTCAGACGCAGAATGGCCCCGCCTCGCGCAATCGTACGCTGTAGTTCCTTGGCATTCAGGCACGCTGGTACAGCTTCATTGCACCCAAAACTAACCCTAAACCCTAAACCCAAAACCCCAAACCCTAAACTGTAGGCGTTACAGCCCCAGAGCCATGTGCCTCAGGAAATACGGAAATGATGTTTCTTGGGCTTCAGGGTACCAACGACATGCCTGAACGCCAAAGTATGTACAGTAGCCTATCAGGCCCTAAACCCTAACCCTAAACCCTAAACCCTATCAATCCTAAACCCCATAAATCCTAAACCCTATAAACCCTAAACCCTATAAACCCTAAACCCTATAAACCCAATACACCCTACAGCCCACGGACCCTTGAGGTTCTTGCACAGGAGTCAGGTTATATGGTTTTTTTTGGGGGTGAAGAAACTAGGGTGTGCGGGGCGTTCGGTTCTTTTGGGGATTTCACACGCATTTATGTGGAGAAAGGCAGTTCCAGGACACTCTAAACCCTGTGCCCTGAACCCGCTGACTCGGACCAGAGGTTCGAGGTTGCCGACCCTGAGCCGAAACTTTCGGCCTGAGCCCTGAACCCCTAAACCCTAAAACCTAGCCCTATAAGCCCTAGACCCTGAACCCCAAACCCTAAACCCTGAACCCGCAAACCCAAACAAAAAAGGGTTCGAGGAAACCTGCTCAGCACCTAGGCCAGGTTTGAAGCCTAAACCCCAAAGCCCAAAGCCCTAAACCCTAAACCCCAAACCCTAAACCGCACAACCCTAAACCCAAAACCCTCAAACCCTAAAACCCTAAAACCCAAAACTCTAAACCCCAAGCCCTAAAGCCCTAACCCCAAAACCCTAAACCTATAACCCAAAACCTTAAAATGCCAAAACCAAAAACCCTCAAACACCAAGCCCTAAAACCCTAGAGCCCTAAGCCCCTAAAGCCCTCAACCCCTACAACCCTAAAACCCTAAAAACCCTATAACCCTAGAACTCTAAAACTCTAGGCCCCTAAAATCCTGAAACCATGAAACCCCTACAACCCTAAAACCCTAAAACCCTACAACCCTACAACCCTACAACCCTAAAACTCTAGACCCCTAAAACCCTGAAACCATGAACCCGAAACCCGAGCTCCCTAACACCCTACACCCTAAAACCCTGAAACCCGACACTAAACCCTAAAACACCAAACCCTGGATCCCCTAAACCCTAAACCCTATAGGGTTTTATTTAGGGTTTAGGTTATAACCTAAACCCTAAATAAAACCCTAAACTGAGCCCTAAAACCCTTAACTCTACAGCGTGGCGGCCGGGGGGCGTGTTGCTCCGGAGGCCTGTGGCGGTGCAGCTTGTGTAGGGCCGATCCTGGGATGCGCATTCGCCTCAGCTCAAACCCTCTGGCGCATGCAGCAAAATAGGGTTTAGGGTTTAGGGTTTAAGGTTTAGGGTTTAGGGTTTAGGGTTTAGGGCTCTAAAGCGCTTCCTATAAAGCGACTTTAGGGCCTCCAAACTGACGTTAGGGGCCAAGTATCTACAACTTCTGGGTAGCCCAGAAGCCATATTGTAAACCCTAAACCCTAAACCCTAAACCCTAAACCCTTTTGGGGTTGCGTGCTGTCTAAGCAAACCTCGAACCCAAGAAAGGGCAAAAGGGTACCTCTGGGCTACCGAGACAGATTTCGGTACACGGATACTCAGCTAAGCGGCTCGCAACACGGGATCCTTGAAGGATCGAAAAAGACCCTAGGGACTGGGGTTTAGGGTCTTAGGGATGTGGAGTTTTAGGGATTTGGGTTTGGATCCCTACAACAAAAAATTGTGTATATTCCAGAATTACAGGGTTTTGGAAGATCTGGTAGCTACAAGGGCCGTTAAGGTAACTTTTGAACCCTCAAACCTTCGACCCAGTCTAAGGCATCTACGGTTTTATCTAGCGGCAGGCAAAGAACGTGACCCCAACCAGCCCTTGAAAGAGGTCGAAGCCCTAAACCTCAAAACCCTGCACCCTAAACCCTAAACCCTAAACCCTAAACCCTAAACCCTAAACCCTAAACCCTAAGCCTCTGCCACGGTGCTAGCCATGTGCCAGGCGCCGCCGTCACTCACCTCGAGGCGCCTGCAGGGGCTTCGGGTTTAGGGTTTAGGGTTTGGGGTTTGGGGTTTAGGGTTTAGGGTTTGGGGTTTAGGGTTTGGGGTTTAGGGGTCTGGGGTTTAGGGTTTACCGGTTTCGGTCTCCGGAATTGGTGGTTTTAGGGTTGGCTGGAGAGCTTCAATGTGTTTGGGCTTTTGTGCTAAACCTAAGCACTCAGCAAGTTTTTGGCGTAGCGTTTAGGGTTGAGGGTTTAGGGCTTAGGGTCTGGGCGGTTGTCTGATTAATATACAACTTACGGGGCAAAAGCCAAGCTCTAACAAACAACAACAATCCAAAGTGTTAAGACAAGGAACTCCCAAAACTATAATACGACACCTCTTCTCCATCGTGAGACCCTGAGTCCTTGGCCATGGGATTGCTAAGCAAAGTGAAGAAGCGGCGCATGCGAAGCAAGTTTGAGGGCTTGCGGAAAGGTTGCGGATCAGTTCAACAATCTTCTGCTACGTATATTCACCCTCAAATTCCTGAACCATAAACAGTACATCAACCCCTGAACCCTGAACCCTAAACCCTAAACCCTAAACCCTGAACCCTAAACCCTTAACCCTAAACCCTACGAACTGGAGCCAAGGTGCCAGTAGCTGAAGGAGCACCTCACAACTTTGGAGCTCAGAACTTTGTAGGGTTTAGGGTCGATAGGGTTTAGGGTTTAGGGTTTAGGGTTTAGGGTTTGGGGTTTGGGGTTTGGGGTTTGGGGTTTGGGGTTTGGGGTTTGGGGTTTGGGGTTTGGGGTTTGGGGTTTGGGGTTTGGGGTTTAGGGTTTGGAGTTTCTGGTTTAGGGTTGAGGGTTTAGGGTTGAGGGGTTTCAAGGGGCCTGATGACTGGCATTTGGGTTTTTGGAGTATACCTTATAAGAACCCAAAACCTACTTTTTTGTAGGGGGGTTCTACCAGGAACCTACAAAATTGTGGGTTTGCGGTTCTTAAGGTGCCCTGTACCTGGGGAGTATCCGGGGAACATCTTGATAGCGAATTTGGGCTCCTTGCCTTCGGCTCCTCAAAGGGTTTGAGGGGTGCAAAGGCTGCTTGGTTTGCAGCGCCATCGTAGGAACAGTGTCTGGGCCCCTAAACCCTATAGACCCTAAACCCTAAACCCCCAAGTTTTGGGTTGGGGAAAGGACTTAGGGTTTAGGGTTTAGGGTTTATAAGGGTTTAAGTTTAGGGTTAAGGGCTCAGGGTAAAGGATGGCTACTCCCCATGTGTAGAGGTTTCGGGTTTCGGGTTTAGCGCTGCTTGTTAGTTGTCTATCCGTTGTCCTCTAGTGCACCCGCAAAAGACCAGGGCACCTAAAACCCTAAACCCTAAACCCTAAACCCTTAACCCCCAACCCCCAAGGCCCCAAGGCTCGGAATGCAAGAACAGTATGTCGTGCATGATACGGCCTGTGGGCCTCTCCCAGGCTTCAAAAGAGCGCACCCTGAACCCTACACTCTAAACCGTTAAACCGAGGGTTTAGGGTCGAGGGTTTAGGGTTTAGGGTTATGAAGCAACCGAATCCCGAATTCAGCCTCTGCCGACTTTCGCCCGTTTAAGCCACCCCACAAACTTCCCTAAGTATGACTCTCAGAACGAAGTAAAGTTTAGGGTTTAGGGCTCAGGCTTTAGGGCCTAGAGCTTAGGGTTTAGGGGTTTAGGGTTTAGCGTGAAACAAACATATATTCCCAGGGTTTGGCAGCCTATCAAGTAATTCAAGTCCAGGACACCGTGGGCGGACCCCGCTGAGGTAGTCGGCCAGGCGCCACTCCACGTGCAGCTGCCCTGTCCCGACTTCAGGAAACCCTATTAAGGTTTAGAAAAATAGGGTTAACTTCAGGAAACCCTATTAAGGTTTAGAAAAATAGGGTTTAGGGCTTAGGGCCCAGAACCCTAGAAACTCTGAAGGCAAACCAAAAAAAGGAGAAGTTTGGCCCTAAACCCTAGTCCTTGTACCTCCGTAGCATTTACTTGGCACCCCATACTCACTTTCATAGGAAGTACAACCCGGAGCTAAAAACCCTAAACCCTAAACTCCAAACCCTAAACCCCAAACTCCAAACCCTAAAGTAGGCCCTAAACCCTAAACTTTTTTCGCGCACACGGGCTTCGAGGGATACTTTTACAGCGCTCTGATTCAACCGGGGGGCAAAGGCAGCTCGGGTAACCATTCGGGGGCGCCTTGTCGGGAAGGCTTAGGACGAAGGGTTTAGGGTTTAGGTTTTAGGGCTTAGGGTATAGTCCAAGCCAGCAGCTGGTGTCGCAATCTGGTGTCGTTACCATGTAAGCAAAGATTTTTTGATTTCTGTCATTCAAGACTGGGAGGTTTTCAGTCGGGGTGTTCGGAAGCCGGTGTTCCCAACATAGAGCAGGCCACTTTACATGGTTCTTACCAGGTGCTTACAACTGCCTTACATTGTGCTTACATCGTGCTTACATGGTGCTGACATGGTACATACACGGTGCTCACATAGCGCTGGTAGTTCTTTTCGCATGGTGCTGACAATACGCTTACATGCTGCTTACACTGTGCTTACATCGTGGTTCATGGCTTACATGGTGCTTACATGGTACATACACGGTGCTCACATAGTGCTTTTAACTCGTATCACGTGGTGCTTATATTGCGCATACATGGTGCTTACATGCTGCTTATAACGTGCTTACATGGTGCTTACATAGTATTCCCCTTCCGTACACCTTACATGGTACTTCCGAGGTACTTACAAGTGATTCCCATGTCGGTAACTTACACCAAACAAGACAGCACCAGTGCGTAGTTTTCTCCGTATGCAGCAATCTGACCTTACTCGCATCATGACCTCCAGTTCTGCCCTGTACATCCTACTTATATGTATGTCTAGGCAGAAGGGCCACAGAAGAAGGAAACAAGGCCTTAGATCCTGGCCCCATGGAGCGGACGCTCCCCGGCATATGAACGACACCACTTTGCTAGTCACCTGCATCCTCCCTTGATGTAGGGTTCAGGGCTTAGGGTTTAGCAGGTACCAGTGGGAATACTCGCTTACGTACCACCCCGGGAACGCCCTGCTTGACTTGCGGGACATTGTGCATCAAGGGGGCACTGAGAGAGCCGTTCACATGATCCAACTGAGATCATGACAAGCTTCTCCCCACAGAGAAGCCTTGCCGGCTGCAGGCTGAGGGAACAATCCGGGACCCTGCCCAGTCGTTCACACACCTTGGCAAGCTCCGGGTCGTTGGGCAGCCTACCCTAAACCCTAAACCCTAAACCCTAAACCCTAAACCCCAAACTCGTTGGGCAGCTTCTAGAGGACCTCTGCACTGCTGATCATGCCCTCGCTGGCTTCACCTCCATTGGAGGTAGCACCCTTGCTCTTGCTGCTCCGCCAAGTACTTGTAGGTTCAGGGTTTCGGGTCACCTGCTAGTTCTTAGCAGGGGATTCGGGGAATTGGGTACCATATATATATATATATGTATATACATATATCACCCACATAACCATTGGCAGGAGACTTCCATAAGATTCCTCATCCCCGTAGAACCCTAAAGTCTCCACCCGAAACGGCCCTGAACCCTAAACCCTAAACCCTAAACCCTAAACCCTAAACCCTAAACCCTAAACCCAAAAAGGCTCGGCCTGGGGCAGGCGAAGTGATGCTCTCCAATACTGGCGCCTGGTTTTGTTGCGAGCCGGTGGGTTTAGGGTTTAGGGTTTAGGGTTTAGGGTTTAGGGTTTAGGGTTTAGGGTTTAGGGTTTAGGGTTTAGGGCTGCATCTCTAGACACTACAATGAACCCCCTGATATAGGGTTTAGGTTTTAGGGATAGGGGCCTTCATAATTAGAATTGTTTTTTTTTTTTTTTTTTTTTTGGGGGGGGGGGGTGATTATGGTATAGTTACAAAAGACAAAAGGACCATCAGGGAATGTGAACAGGAATTCTTCCGACCCCTGTAGTAGGTTGGGGGCGTGTGGCTTCCAGGTTGTGGGGATGAGTAGTTTGGGGTTTTAAGATTTAAGGTTTAAGGCTCAGGGGCTTAGGGCTTAGAATCTTTGGGGGATGAAGCGTCATGGTGTGTGCCAAGAAGGATCTCTGAGACCAAGCGGAGCACGACCGGGTCTTCCTCGACACGATACGCAATCTCTAGCATCAGTATCTGTTTGCTATACCACCAGCATGATATTGTCACATTCTGAGAAAGTTGAAATCCGATGTTTTTGTTTTGTTACTGTAACTATATTTCTTTATCTGTATGTTTTGTACAAAAAGAGACCCCAAAAGCGGGGGTCCATCATTTGATCACCCCCCCCCAACATTAGTCCCTAAACCCTACATACGCCTAACTCCCAGTGGCTCATGGGTTTAGGGTTTGGGGCTTAGGGTTTTCCAACCTCCCCCAATGGTGGGTTTGGGGGGGGGGTTAAGCTTGGGGGTTTGTCGTGAGTTTAGTGTTAGCCCTAACCCCGAAACCCTGAAGCACAAAAGCCCTACATCCTAACCTCCAAGCACTAAGTCCTAACCCCTAAAGCCCAACGCCTAACCTATCAACCCTACAAACCCTACACAAACCCGCCAAACCCTGTACATCCCACATACCCCATAAACCGTCTAAATCCCATAACCCTATAAACCTAAACCTAAACCCTGACCCCTAAACCTTAAACCCTAAACCCGCAAGCCCTGTTCTAAACCCTAACCTCTAACCCCCTAAACCCTAAACCCGAAACCCCAAACCCTCAACCCTAAACCCTAAACCCAAACCCTAAACCCTAAACCCTAAACCCTAAACCCTAAACCCGAAACCCTAAACCCGAGGCGCCTTGGCGGGAGCCAGGGCCTCATGGCACTGCCTTCACACGAGCTTCTGGGTTGGCGGTGTTCGGGTTTTAGGTTGGGATGTTCCCCCTTATACTTAGGGTTTAGGGTTTAGGGTTTAGGGTTTAGGGTTTAGGGTTTACCGGGGGTGCTAGAATCTAGTATAATCCCTACTAAGGACTGTTAGTGCTTGGGGAACATCCCCAAGTTGTAGGGTTGTAGGGTTTGAGGATTTTAGGGCTGTAGGGTTTGAGGTTTTGGGGAGTTCGAGCTGTAGGGGTGCAGGGGTTTGGGGTTTAAGGTTGCAGGGATTTAGGTTGTAGGGTTGTAGGGGGCTAGGGTTTAAGGGTTTTTGGGTTGAGGGTAGCTTTGCACATTTCAGAGCTTAGCGGAGTCTAGGATACAGGGCTCAGGGGAGTTTAGTTTTTAATTAGTGGGGTTTAGGGTTTATGGCTTAGTTCGGGGCAGCAAGGCCCAGGGTTTAAGGGTGGGTTTAGGGGAGTTGGGGGTTTGGGGTTTCGGTGGAGGTGCGTTTCAATCAACCCTGCACCATAACTCGGCATGAATCCCTAAGCCACGTAAGTCTGAAGTCCCGAAGCCCCCAGGCCCCGATGAACCCTGAACCTCTAACCCCTAAATCGAGCCTCGCTTTAAGGTCCAACAAAAATGCCACGGACAAAGGCGCCGCTGCTTCCAGGAAGCACCCCAAAAATGCAAGCTTGCGAGCGTTTGCAAATAAGGAAGGGAGCGCGCCCTTAACATCATTTGCGCGTGTGGGTGAGCCGGCCACTTTGACCACTCGATCCATCTGCCCTGGCCCCGTATGTTTTCGAGACGGCACTGCTGCCTGTAGACGACCAGTATGCCAGGAAGCACGACCCCGACTGGGTCCCATGCTGGCTAGGAATTACTTCTCAACTGCTTGTCGCGCCACAAAGGAAACTGCAATGCCTCAGAATCCATGCCGGTTTAGGGTTTAGGGTTTAGGGTTTAGGGTTTAGGGTTTAGGGCTTTTGGGTACCTGTATACCTAAGACCTTTTAAAAGCGGTTCCTAAAAAGTAGCTTCAGGGCCCACGTACATACGATCCTAGTACATGGGCCCTTCGGGCTGGTGGTCAAGATGCCAACTCCCCGAACATCTACTTCATGACCCTAAACCCTAAAACCCTAGACCCTAGACCCTAAACCCTAAACCCTAAACCCTAAACCCTAAACCCTAAACCCTAAATGCTAGTAGCCAGGAATCGCCAGAACTGCAAACCCCTACACCCTCAACATCTAAACTGACCCCAAAGGCCTGAAACCGCAGGAACCATCAATTCTAGCCCACCAGGGAGGGTCCCCTTAGTGGTCATCGGGGTTCTGGGCGAACGGCATCTTGAGCAAGAGAACTTGCTGCTCCATCCCCCACAGCCCTAAACAACAAAACCCCAACATCACGCGTGGGCGCATGTACGATCACAACCTCGAACGAAAGGCCCTTTCACTCAAGTTAGTATACTCTAAACTCTGAAACCTGAGCTTAAACCTCTACACTAAACGCTGACCCCGAACCCCAAAACCATACCGAGTATCGCGAAACCCTCAACCCGGATCCCCAAGCCCCAAACCCTAAACCCGCCGCCCCAAGCCCCACGCTTCACGCCCCAAGCCCCAAACCCTAAACCCTAAACCCCAAACCCCAAACGCCACACCCTAAACCCGAAACCCCAAACCCTAAACCCTAAACCCTAAACCCTAAACCCTAAACCCGAAACCCCCCAACTCTCCCCTGTGCACCCGCCTAGGACCGCCATGCCCGAGGCACTCTGCCTCGGAGGCGCCACAGCAGTGGTCCTGGCTAAAGTTTAGGGTTTAGGGTTTAGGGTTTAGGGTTTAGGGTTTAGGGTTTTTAGGGTTTAGGGTTTAGGGTTTAGGGTTTAGGGTTTAGGGTTTAGGGTTTAGGGTTTAGGGTTTAGGGTTTAGGGTTTAGGGTTTAGGGTTTAGGGTTTAGGGTTTAGGGTTTAGGGTTTATGGTTTAGGGGGTTTAGGGTTTGGGGTTTGGGGTTTAGGGTTTAGGGTTTAGGGTTTAGGGGGGGTTTAGGGTTTAGGGTTTAGGTTTAGGGTTTAGGGTTTGGGGGGTTTGGGGTTTAGGGTTTGGGGTTTGGGGTTTAGGGTTTAGGGGTTAGGGGTTAAGGGTTAGGGGTTACGGTTTAGGGTTTAGGGTTTAGGATTTGGGGTTTAGGGCTTAGGGTTCAGGGTTGAGGGTTTAGGGTTTGGGGTTTAGGGTTTAGGGTTTAGGGTTTAGGGTTTAAGGGTTAGGGGTTACGGTTTAGGGTTTAGGGTTTAGGGGTTAGGGGTTCGGGGTTAAGGGGTTAAGGGGTTAGGGGGTTAGAGTTTAGGGTTAGGGTTTAAGGTTTAGGGTTCAGGGTTCAGGGTTCAGGGTTTAGGGTTTAGGGTTAGGGTTTAGGGTTTAGGGTTTAGGGTTTAGGGTTCAGGGTTCAGGGTTCAGGGTTCAGGGTTTAGGGTTTAGGGTTTAGGGTTTAGGGTTCAGGGTTCAGGGTTTAGGGTTTAGGGTTAGGGTTTAGGGTTTAGGGTTTAGGGTTTAGGGTTCACGGTTCAGGGTTCAGGGTTTAGGGTTTAAGGTTTAGGGTTTGGGGTTAAGGGTTTAGGGTTTGGGGTTTTGGGTTTAGGATTGGGGTTCAGGGTTTAGGGTTTGGGGTTTAGGGTTTGGGGTTTGGGGTTTAGGGTTTAGGGTTAAGGGTTTGGGGTTGAGGGTTAAGGGTTTGGGGTTTAGGGGGCTTTGGGCCTAGGGCTAAGGGTTTTGAAGTCTCTTTGGGGGGGGGGGGTTAGGGTTGAGAGGGGTGTCTCGGGCTTCTGCGGTTTGGCGTTTCAAGGGTTTATAGGGTTTGGGGCTTAGGGTCTCGGTAGTTACATGGCTCGTTCATCTTGGCAGGTGGGCCGGGATGTGAGATTGTGGGGTTTTGAGGGTTTGAGGGTTTTGAGGGTTTTGAGGGTTTTGAGGGTTTTCGGGGTTTTGAGGGTTTTGAGGGTCTGAGGGTTTCCGGGTTTGCGGGCCTTGGGCCTGCTGGTATGGCCTACAGCAGTCCTCAGCTCTTTCATTGAAAACTTAGAGACTTAGGGGGCTCGGGGGG